GAAATAGCTAGCCATTTTCTGTTTTGTTGCTCGATTTTTCGCCTTAGTTATTTTTTGGTACTACGTATTTAGTTATTTTTTGGTAGTACGTATGGATAATATGTTCGGAACCTAGTGGCCTTACTGGGTTACGACACGTGAACAACCCTTCGAAGGTAGCGGGCCAGAATTCTTCCGGCCCCACTCGAAGAGCTGATACGTGTTGTAATCTGTTGTTCACTAGTCTTTTCGGAAGGCACCTAGCCTCCCCCTCCCCCTCCTCTTGTTGTAGAAGTCGATTCGCTGGTTTCGATAAATGCTTCATCTCCTTGTTTAAAGATGTTCTCGATTGAATTAGTTAGCCATTTGTTTTCCTTTTTCTGTTTTTTGTTTTTCGATTTTTCGCCTTGGCAATTTTTTTGGGAGTGCATAGGGACAATCTGTTTGGAACCTAGTGTCCTTGCTTGGTTACGGCACGTGTACAACCCTAAGAGAGTAGCAGGCCAAAATTCTTCCAGCCCCGTTCGAAGGCCTGTCACGTGATGTAATCTGTTGTTCACTAGTCTTTTCGGAAGGCACTGAACACCCTCCTCCGCTTGTTGTAGATCTTCTGCAGACGTGGGAAAACCATTGGGTGGATTCTTCACCTTCCATTCCTAAAAATGGCCTCACCTCACCTTCCATCCCTAGAAATGGCCTTGTCTCTTTCCATTCTCTTACCGATCCTTCCGTTGCCCTGTCGTCCTCTTTCTTCCCCTTTCTTCCCCTTCTTTTCCCTCCCCTTCCCCTTCCCTTCGTTATTATTCTCCCTCCCGTTTCCCTTTTCTATTTTCCTTCCTCTCTTTCCCCTCCTTCTCGTCTCTTCCCTCTCTCTCTCTCCCTTTCCGCTTTTAGGCATGCTCGCAATAAAAGGCCCCTCGTGAGATAGTAGGCCGCGGCACGTGACAGCCTTCCGCATCAACGATTGAACCAAGGCACGCCGAAAAACGTAGCAGGAAAATCCTTGATAAATGACGATATCTTGCATGCATTAGTGAATAATTGTGCCACCCGCTCGTTCGATCAATGACTTTCCGTTTTCTGCAATCTCTCGGTGCCAACAAACACTCGTGTAATAGCAGTTCCATTGCGTAAGACGATCCTTCGCCATCCAAAACGCGCGGCGAAGTGACGCAATGAGATCTCGTTGTTGTCTGGCGGTCGCCCGACACTCAACACGCATAAGCCACATGATTGATTAATAACGCTTAGCTCATTATCGCTCGTCAGAGGGAAATGCTTGACCGTAGTCTGTGCGTGTATCCTAGAATATAAACATATTGCATAGACCCGTAATTGATGATATTGCTCTCTCTCTCTCTCCCTCTCTCTCCCTACGAGTTGCCCGACAGTCCTGGTTATAGCAATATATGTATATGCATGACCTGCTGACCGACGCATAGTACCCCATCCTGATTTATTTATCAGACTATCCCCACTCCCATACTGGCCCTTCTCTCACTTGTCTCCAGCTATATCGTTTATAAGCAACCACCATCGACAGAAAGTACGCTATGCTCTTTCTCAGATCCGGCGACTTAAGCGCAACTTTTACCACCATAGTATAGACCCCCTACTCACCCTATGACAGTAGGAGCCAATCAAAGCCCAATATTACCGACACGTCATTACCACGAAAAAAACTATCGGGACACTGGAAATAAGTTGCTTTGTACTGATATTAGCGCTTAAAATGATCCATTCCAGGAAACCCCTGAGCTCTCCGATCTCCAGGACAGACTCCACATCGCGACAAAAAAGGTTCGTAAACCCCTGCTAGGTTTTCATAGCATGCCGACGAAAACTAGTGTCGGAGCTCGGCCATCCACAGTATGCTGCGTGGCATGGCGTGCATAATCTGCATACACCCAAAACACACTAAGGACGGGGACCTTGTGTCCTCAGCATCGCTGCTGGTGGACGCTCCCATCTGCCATGCAGCCGGAACAAGCACCGAAAGGGTACTGCGGGAGAATGAGCATGGTAACGCAGTGAGTGGAGTACCTAGGTGAGAAGTAAGGTAGTAATGTGGTAAAGGCAGCCGTAAGGAAAGCGGTCTGAACGAGTCGATAGGAAAGACATTCGGAATGACGAAGTTGTGTACGACTTGTGTTCCCATGCCCCCTCAACCCGCCCGCTCCCGCCACCACTGCTCTGTTTCTAATTTTGGGTCGGTTTCTGTCTCCATTTTTGTCTCTTTCATTGTTTCTGTTTCTGGTTTTGGTCCTTTTTCTCCCCCTTTCCTCTCTCTTGTGTCCCGACTCCTTCCCGCAATGCAAACCGCACAACCGTGTTGATTTCTTGCAGTTCATTCATGAAAAAGACATCCCCGGAGGATGGTGGAGTCAGGTAACCGAGGCGTTCCCTCTGATCGCCCAGTGCCCGTGGGCCAGCAAACCCACGCAAGCACTCGTGACCTGCATAAAACCGGAGATCATGGCGGCAGTAAAAGTCATTTGGGATTCCGGTAGGTTTCCGCACTTCTTCGAGATGCTTGGTTTTATTGACTTAGCTGTACTTGCCAGCACGTGGGACAAAGGGGAGGAAGTTTTTCAAACCGAATTAAACGAGTTAGCAGCAAGGTTGGAGGTTAGTAAGATCGTGTATGCCAGGGAATGCATAGAGTTACCCGCAAAGGTAACAGCAATGGAACGAACCTTTTTGAGGGCGTGGGGGTTGAGCGACTCACACGTAAGGGCACCGCCCATCCCCAGGGCAAGAAGGGAGCCGGCTGTAGCAGCACAACCAAGGCACGAAGTCGAATTGCAAGCTTTGCAAATCAGAGAAGAGGAGAGCAGGAAATGGAACAGGCCATCGCAGCCATCAACGCTACAGCCGCAGAAAGAATCACCCCTCCCCGCAGAGTTAGAAGGTTTACTGCTGCCGAACCAGCTGGGCAGTTCACTTTGTTTGCACCTTTAGCCTCGGAGAGGTGGGTGGAGCACACGTGCGTAGCATACCGATATGCCATTTGAAAAATGGATACATTTAATCACCTGTCACCAATGTCCATAAAAACACTGCAGTTCATAGCCGCGGTCACTGACGAGGAGGCACTCACCTGTCAGGAGGTTGCGCTAGATGGCAGTCTGGAGCATGCAGGTAAGCAGAGTAAGTCTATAGAACCGGAAGATCTTAGCTTTCCACCGATGTCATACCAGGACCCGGATAAGTATGGGAACACCCTGCCGATATGTTGGGAGAAGGGCATCAAACAGCCACCTAACTTACAGCTTAAAAGCCTACGAAAAGTATGGAGCACAGGGAGGCCGGATCTCAAATGCCAATGTGGCAAGGACATCCAGACTGATTGTTCCGGCGGACCTATCTGGTTCGACCATGCACTGTGGTTTCTGCTAGCACACCCTGACAAACTCTTTCCAAACATGTCATCCATCAGAGTGCAAACGTCGATGCTCCTCTACTTCCTCCGTAGCTCCTGGAAGCCGACAATCCTCGATTACATCACCTTCATCAACATCCGACACGTCATGATGGGTCTCGCAGGGAACCTTGTGCAGGATAGCGCACTTGACGCAGAATCAATCATCACGGACCAGAGACTGTGGAACTACAGACGTCCGCCTACCCTGACCAAGATCATCCTTCCTACAAGGATCCCGGCCAGACCAAGGAGAGACGGATCATCAAGGGCCAATGCACGGAGGAGAGCCAGGAACGAACAAGCACTGATCCCGGGACAAGGCCGACTCAACTTTCGACCGGCAGAGGCAGAGCAGGCGGAGCGTGCAGACCTCCCCCCTCCCCCGCTTAGGAGACGACTTGACAAAGCCGGAGCGGCCCAGCAAGTGCAACGGGGAGAAGCAAGGCAGCAGGATGCGGCAGTTGATCAACCACCTCTGAGCGCTGCTCCCACCAACACAAGGGAACGCAGGAACCCCTCCCAGGGGTCTTCATTCGTCATGCAAGCAACTCAGCAGCAGAATGGTAGAAAGAAAGGAAGAGCCACAGCAGCAATCGGAAGAGGGCAGAGCTCGGCGATCTTCACTCCTTGAGAGCTGCAGGGTCTAATGTTCGTGAGGGAGGACAGCGGTCGTTTGGAACTTCCTTCCTTCCTTCTCCTTCCTTCTTCTTTTTTCTTCCTTCTTTCAACCCCCCTCCCCCCCTTTTTTTCTGTCCTCTGTCCTTCCTGTCCTTCCTTCCTTCCTTTCTTTCTGTCTTTTTTCTGTCTTTCTAGCTTTTTGTCTTTCTTTCCTTCTTTCTTTCTTTCTTTCCTTCTTTCTTTCTTTCTTTTTGTCTTTCTTTATTTCTTTCTTCTTCTTTCTTTCTTTCTTTCTCTTTGTCTTCACTTTCCTTTTTCTTCTT